GTAAATTACCGAAGGAAGCGGGGGACAGTACTTGTGATTTTTAGAAAGGGGTTCACTCTTACCTGGTAGCCTTTGCTCTATACATATTATATTTTCGGAAGAAGTTGGGAGGAGAAAATTTTTTGAGTTCCATGAAAACTGAGGAAAGTCCGAAAATTACTTCATATCTGCGCATATGCCCCCCGCGCCACTAGAGTCCACCTTAGCGTTTGTACTTTTTCAATAATTCTACAACCCCTCCGCCATCAGCCATTAGGGACTCCCCAGAACGACCTCTCCTACTACCCCTGAATCACCACCCTCGATTCCGACACTGCTTGATACGGCCCAACTCCGCGAACTTTTTCCTACAAAATGGCCGAGTGGGGGGGGGGTTAAGTACGTCTCAATGGACGAAAAATCCTCCGCTTTTGTCCAATTCATCTACTTCACGCCTCTTTCGTGAGTCATTTCCCACCAAATTCATAAAAAAAGCCTTGTCTCTTTTGATCCCCTTTCCAACAGCTACCACGACTCAACTGCCATGAATATCACACTCTTCCTCAAAATCGTAATTACGCCCCACCCCACTGACTCTTCCACCAATGGACGATCCACCCTGCACCCCTCCCCGCGTGAGGCGTCAATCACTTGGAAGATTCGGAATGGGAGGGATGCAGTCACGAGTAAAAGGAGAAGAGGAGTGTGCCCTAAGAGGTGTCAGGGGCTATATGAAGACAACCCCCCCCCCCTCCAGAGAAGTGTTGTCTAGTGGAACTCAAATCCCAACTCAAGGCGGTTGACCCTGTCTGCAGTAGTCCGTTGTCCGTGACAAAGCTCAAGAACCCGCTCATGTAACCTGATTACTTGTGAGTATAGATCTTCTTCTGCTGTTTCCATAGAATGTGCTTCGAAACACGGCTTTTGGAAGCCGACTTATTGGCAATTCCAGGAGGCAATTCGTCTTTTTGCAACACATTTTGCGCCTGCTATTTAACCCCATTCTGAACCCTACTGCGTTCCTGGAAACCCTGGTCAGCTGACCGACCTCTGGAAGTAACCTGGTTATCAGGTTCTCCCTTCTATTCATTTCGGGCCTTTGTTATTATAATAATTATTGGGTTCAAGTCGCTTTTCGTGCAATGTGCGCCACTCCTTACCCCTCACAGTTTTTATCCCATGTAACAACAGTGCGATATTGCGCCTTGCTCTGAGTATAAAGAAGGCCTATTCTGCTCTTCAGAGGTTCATACTTTGGTTGAACATGTAACAGGTACTATATGTCACAACACGCCAGCCGTCCCACACCATTCCACCATTCCTCATGTTTTTCAAGTCACCAATGGCTTCAGTGTGTAGGACATTTTTTCCCTTGCGTCGCCTGCTTAGCCTGTCTAAGTGAAAGCGTTCAGGAAGAGGAGGATCGATGGAGCTGAGGAAGTAATTAAACTAAAGGACAGTTATAAAGAAACAGTGAGCGGTAGTAATTAATGGCCTCTTGGAACAAGTGTCCACCAGCAACAAAGGGAAGTTGTTGACTGGCATTCTGGAAGGCGGAGACGAAATGCAGGGGTGTAGGGGAAGTGTCTCATGACATCGTTATCGCGCTTGGAGATGAGTCATGATGTCGGTGCAATTTGAATTCGCTCTTCTCCCGTCAGCTCAGACCGTCCTTGTTGAAGCGACTGCCAAAGCAGCTGCGTGGTTGACTATTGTGGTCTTTCAGGGAGAATTCTTCTGTTCGAATTTTCTGTCCGCCCCACTTTTCCGCCCCCGTCACGACGTTCGAAACTCGTTCTTCAATCAATCAATCTGAGGCGATCCGTGTCTCATCAGCACAAGTTATCCATATATTCGTAGTTCAGCTGAAGTAAGTACAGTTTCATTCTAATCTCGCTCTCCTCTAAATCCGCGTTTTTGTCTGATAAATTTCTTTCAATATGTTTCTAGCCTTTCACGAACGGCTGCTGCCACTCGTAAGTCCAATAGAAATCAGAACTACTAAGAAGTTTGCTTTTTCACTGAAAAATTAGCTATTTCTTTGTAAATTGATGCCGAGTTTCGGATAGCACCCGACGAAGTTCTTTCCTCAAATCTGTTCCGATATCCCTTCGCACTGATTAAGTGCTTCATATAGCAGTTTGAAATGTCGTTCCTTAACGTGTTCCATTTTTTGCATCCACTGATGGCTAGCTATTCGAAAGTTTCGATCTGCTTCCCTTTCGATGATAATCGAGCTGATTGGTATCTTAGACGGTTTCTGGGAGTAAGAAGTCCATTTCGGCATTTAACGCGATTTGGCTTATATAGTGATTGTAGAGAGCAGATTCTGTTCAGTTCAGTGTGGCAGCCCTCCCCCATGATGCTTGTACTAGTTTGCTGTCCTAGAAAGGCTGAAATCCTGGACTATATTTGATCTGGGATTCACTTCTGGCCCATAGGTGTGGCGGCGGGATGCCTTTACGTACCCTCAGTCTCTTCAGGAAGTTATAAACTAAAAATTCTGCTGAATACTACCCTTCGAGTTTTGGAATGTTCGAGAATTGGAATGAAACAAATCGAGTTTTTCCAAACTTTTCTTTGCTTGAAAGTGAAGTTCGGGGTATTCCTTCTGTCCGAGTGGGTTTTCTCATTTTGCACAGGATGTGCCGAAGTAAAATGACCACTTTTTCGATTTTTCCTACAATTATTTAATATTTGAAAAGCATATTTTCAATAATATAGTTGCAGAAATTTCCGCTTCTTTTTCGCGTATTTCAACATTTTTCAGAATTTTGTTCCTTTTATGGTGTTTTTTTTTAGTTGTCACCTTTTTGTTCCCGATTTCCGATTGCTGTGAACCGACTACTTGAACTTGGTCAGTGGTGATGGCATTTGAAAAACGAGCGTCGCCGTAAATTACTCAGGGTCACGGACATGACCTATGCGCGGCCGACTTGGCCAGATTTAGTGCATGAAGCACTCGAAGGATATTCTTTTCTAGAAGGCTAGTACCAATTGAAAAAAGGTTACCCGTTCAAAGCCGTTTCATTGCACTCCATTCAGCCATCACTCCCTGGAAACTATCTGTACAACGTATTTGGTCCGGGCCCATTGTCAATGAGTTCTTCTCCCACCTCGAATGAGAACTCAACTGGTCCTATTGAACTGCAAGAGAAAACCAGAGTTAAGAAACATGGATCGTTCGTTTCGTTCCTTCCCCGGACGACTTTTCGTTATTTCTCTTCTTTTCAATCCCTGGATGTCATCAATAAACTGAGATCGGCGTAATAAGGACACAGGGAAGACGAAAAAAATCGTGAACTTGACAAAGTAATTAATCATGAAATAGGGCATGCGTCGCATTGATTAGGTACACCTCTAAAAGCGGGGAAAAGCAAAAAACAGTAAGGAAATGTGCAAAATTTATCAAACCCGTGAGGGTGTTCTTTAGTGGCCCGCGATGAAATTTCATAGATAACTCCACCATCTCTTTTACGGACATTCGCGCTCCTTCTTTCGTTTGCCCCTCCATTTTTTGCTCTACATTGTTTTTTTTACGAGTTTTATAGTCTGAGAAATATATCCTTGTACTGAAAACTGAGTTAAACAGTAAGTAGCAAATAAATAACAAGTTAAACAGCACACACGATGCAGCGAGAACGCCCATTTTGCCAAGCGGAATTACACACTCCGGCGTTCTTATCTGTGGTATTTTAGGCTGATAAAAAGAATTGAAGATGGCCCATTTTAGGGGAGCTCTATGTTGTCGGTACCACAGACGCACGCTTACTTAAAGGCACGAGTCGGAATTAGCGCTCGCCTGTTCCATCCCAGGGGTAGTAGGCAGGTGGACAAGCGTTGATGTCGCGCCCCTTTTGCCGCTTGAAAGTGCGCGACAAAGGCGCAAGAAGCTCGTCCGACCCGCAACCAGAGTCAACCCTGCGTTGCGCAGTTCGCAACGGCACGTTGAGAGATCCTCAACGCACGCTGTATGGGCGGAGACACAGACGGCTCGAGCATGCGAGTGTGAATGTTCGCGCGAGAGAACGTGTCTAATCGGGCGAAACTGCGCAACGTGGCCGTTGAGAACTGCGCAACGCAGGGTTGACTCTGCCCGCAACTCACACCTTCGTCCGCAAGCCCCACCCTCCGCTGTCGGTTGCCACGTGGCGCTGCTTGAAAAGCGCGGGCGCATTTGAGGCAGCGGTCCCATTGCGACCAATGTTATTGGCACTGGAGCAACTAGAGTTAGGTTCGTGAAACTCGTCCAACGCGCCCCTTCTCTATCCCAAGGTGGAATGCGGCTGAAATAGGGGAGGTCTCTGTACGGGGCGTAATCGGTGGTTTCGTTTGCTTTCCTTCTCTTTTACAGACCACCTCCAGCTTCATAACTGAACGCTTTTCCACACCTATTTTATCCCGAATCTTGCCTTTAAAGGTGGAGCCTGCGATGGAAAGGCAACCAATTAGAAAGCAAGGTAGAGGTGGTCAGTGGTGCAAGAATGAAGAAAAAAGTTGAGAAGCGGCCCAGAACATAAGAAATGGAACACTTTCCTTGTCCATTATTTTTGCAGCGATGCAATCTCATCGATGCTGCTCTTCTAAACGATATGCTTCTTCTCTGCTCAATGCTAGAGTCAGATGGTGAGAGGATGGGCGTGCCGTGGCGCGAACAGCGTGGTTATTGTCTTAGTAGGCTGCTGGAGCATCCCGTTCGCTGCAAAATGCCGCGATCTGTAAGTGGCCCGTCTGTATCTCCTCCGGGTGTAGTTCCCCTTCTCTTCCCTCCTAGTAGTTCGATCCTTCTTTGATGCACTTTCAGCTGGTTTCTTTACACCGATTCTGGTGCCTTAATTTCTAGTTCTTATTCCTGATGCCATCTCGCTGCGGACAATTTCTATTGTGGGTTGTTCAGCTGTTGTTTGAACAGCGTTCTTCGTATTTGACAAACGACTAATTAACCGGCTGCTGTGTTTTCGTTTGAGCAAACTGCTCCATTTATTCATGATACCATAAATTGGCAATTAGCGTTTTTTCAGAACGGAGAATTGCTTGTTTGTCTATTGATTTGCATGCTGAGACTAAATAGAGTTGCAGGAGTCAGCCACGTGGAGCTGGGCCGACGTGAATTCGTGGAAACGTCGTGCTTATTCAGTGGTGTGTGTCGATCAACGCCAATCTTCATTGCAACGCCTTCTTGTTCTTGCTCTAATTTGCATACGATTCCCTGTTGAACAATGTTGTGTCGGCCAGGCTCACATTGGTAAGCGTGTATGTGTACTGTCGTGGTGGCGACAAACGCTGTTAACAACGTCTGCTTCAAGCTTGTACACCGTCTCGTGTGCTGGCGCGGCCTTCATGTCCATTCGCTATATTGTGTGTTACGCTTATGTGCTTGTTTTTGGGTTACAGTAATTAGCCTGTGGGGAAGCCAGCATGCGGACGGCTTTGCTTTGTCTGGTGAACGCTTCATCAACCCGGTCTTCCCTGATGTTTTCCCATGTTCTTACCACGACTGCACGGTAAATTTGCCGGTTTTTTGTTAAGTACTTTGGTACAGCTCCACCCGGTAGAAGTACCTGTTTCAGATTTCTAGCATCGGGACCTGCAGCATGCATATATGACTCTTGCAAGGGTCGACCGTCCGATCGCACTAGTCGCATTGTGATTTCAAGAAGGGGGGGGGGGTCGCATTTTTGGGTTGAGTATGGTTATCGTAGTGGGAATAAAGGTTGTCAAAAAGAGTTGCCGTTTAGATGGGTTTTTGAAGAATTTGTTGAACGTTCTACGAACGGAAGAAACGTGAAACACTGGTCTCAAAATCAAATGCTATAGAAACAGCCATGTTGGTGAGGGTGGTGGAAAAGAGGGTAGGGGATTATGTTAGGGGAGCCTTCTAACAATAAGACCGATGGTGGTGGGGGGGGGTTGCATTGAGACTCCTCCTAAAGAGGGTTGGGGTCGTAAATTTTTGAACAAGTACGAACGCGACGGTTGACCCTGCTCTTGCAGTTGAAGATCGCGTCAAGAGCAGACCCCATTTTTGATTGGTCTTCAATCCGCCAATCACAGGTGGCGTTTGCACATGCTGCTTGGTCTCCATTGGCGGCATGCAACCAGGTTTTCCATGAAACGTCACAGCTCCGTTCACTCATGCCATCCATTATGGAAATCTCATAAGATCTAATGAGCAAAACCAGGAATTTTTGAAATTGCACTTCTTTTGGTTAACGTTTTGATTATTAACAGAATCGGGTTCTTAGGGATTTCATCTTTTTGAGCACCCTTCCGTGTTTTGATACAATCCTTTCAGAACCCATCCATCCATTTCAGCCCATTTCTATTGAATACAAAAGTAGAAACCGAAGCAGAAATCAGGATATTGATCGATGATCCATTTCGTCATGTGACGATCATTCATGCATCACAGGAATTGGCCACCGTATGAACAAATGCATGGGGTCTTGCGTTCCGTCTTAAAATCACTGTTTTGTCAATCAACTGGTATTTGTTTCTGTTTTCTGATGAGTAGAAGTACCTTATGTCTTGAAAAACATTCTGATGTCTACTCCTGAATCTGTGATCCTTCCTCCACTCAGTTTTACCTCCACCTGTTGCGACGTCGCGTCGCATCTTCATCGTCGCTTGCGGTTTTGTACGCGACGATGTACGAAGGATTAGCATCGCCTTTTGTTTCGCTTCACTGTTCTATTTGGCTTTAGCACTCGGAGCCTCTCCCTGCTACTGACCACTATGTGAGTGAGAGGTGAAGGAAAGCTAAATGCCCGTCCCGTTTCACGTACGCGGTGAGCCTCTGGTTTCCACTGAATCTTGTCATTCAAGCTTTTTTCGGGGACCACCCACTCACTATCTCGACCACTCGCGATGATCACTGCTCCCGCCTTAGAATTCGCGGACATCGCACAAAGAAGCTGGTCTTTGTTCACGACCTCGAAATTCGTTTCATCTATCATTTCAATGTTCTTTGAATTGTAAAACGCTTCTTTGCTAAATCGATTTTCCTTTTTGATCTACGTTCGTTCCGGCTTATCCCTGCAGTGAACCCTGCGTCCCTGGAAGTTATTTTAAAATTCTCTTCGCTTCTGTAAATTTTCCCCATCATTGTGTTTTCCTAAATCTACTCGATGCGTTTTTTTTTTGCAGAGAATTAAAGACTCCTATAAACTGATTTAAAAAATTACGCAATTACAAAAATTTTCGTTGCTGTTCAGCAAGAGAGCATCCCTTGCGTAGTGTCTAGGACAACTTACATGGAAACAACTCTATCCAGTTTTCCACGTCCGATACTAGTCTTAACGTCATATGTGACTAGTTACTGTAATACTTGCACCTTCCAATATTCGTTAAAATTTCCCCCGAGTCTGCCCTAATTTCCATTGAAAACCCCACTTCAGTCAATGGCGAGGCGGTGCTTAGAGAATAATTCGTCTCTTATCGCTTCTGGCCCGTTCTCATCCACACGAAAGCATTTGCGCCGTTGAGAGGACGTTCACTTTTCGCGTTTATTTTTCGTGTGATGAACTCGTTTTCCTTGCCGTGATGGCACTTGACTTCTTCCAGTCATCCTCGCCTTAGTCCTCATCGTAGCCGTCCTCCTTCCTAAAGCAGACCTCGCCGTTCGAGTGTGGCATCCGGTGGCGACGCACCGCATTACACTCTCCTATCGAAATCCATACTTTACAAACCGGTTTACATTAACTGTTACGATTAACGTGCTCATTAATCGTGGACTATTTTCTTTTTGACGCTTGGCTGGTTTACATTTGTCTATCACCCTCATATCGACCACTATCCAGTCCATGAGTATCCATCAGCCAGCATGGCCCCTCTGAACTCCAGCTTTCGCTCCTTCTTCGGCAGGAGAGCCTTTCCAACTGCAGGGTGACGGCGAGCTCAAGCTCTCTTCACTGACTGACATCAAATGTTATCTGTTTGGAATGAATGTGGATGGTGCGGCAGCGATAACAAAAGTCCTGCTGCACTTCCGGACCCACTAAGGAAAACCAGATCTTCATCTCTCAGTAATAGGCTAATAGGCTTGGTGCACCCCCTCACAACTGTGGGAGGTATTCCCAGTCAGTTGCCTAAACGACTCTTGCCAAAGCTGAGTGCATGGCGTATCCATGTAGGATTTATCAGTCCGACCATGCCACTCTTCGACCTAACCATAACGATTATCTGTTAAGAAGTAAAAGAGACACCTTAGCTAATGGTCGATCTGTCGGCAGAAAGTCATTATATGTATAGTCTGGCCGCTAGCTGAAAACAAGGGCCACGTTTATCCTGTTTTGGAATTTAGAATTATATCTTCATCTTGATATTCGTTCATATTTCAAATTGCGTAGTTCAAGAGATCAGTCTTCCATTGTCTCAGCTCCTACTTCGCTCCCAAATATCGACCTGAACTCTCCGGAGTCCTTCTGAACAAAGCTCCCTTTCATTCGTGAATGTCGGGGTAGGGGGGGGGGTGGTGATTCAGTTCGCAGCTGTTCTCTATTGCAACTGGAGTTATGCACTTTCCCCGAAAATGAGGGAGGGAGAAGTGGCTGGGTGTCCGGGATTGGAAATGGTCGATGATATTGTGAAGAAATTTGAGAAGATGAAAGGACAATATTACAGTCAAAGTAACAATTCAATTTTTGGTGAAATTGCCACTCTGCTCATGCGTGGTGGTTTGTTTGCCTATACTGGTATGACTCTGTGTCACTAACTCGCTGGATTTAGACTTGGTGACTTGTGACTAACTTTTTCTTTGTACGAACATTTCTCGCCGTTGCACCTTCACAAACCATGGTGGGAAATTCGTGATTCTTTTGAGTGTAATTCACTCGAATCGCCGCGATTGAATGGCGATGGTCGGTGGTGATGGCGTTTTTCGGAGTTCTGACGCCGCCGACTCCACCACCATTCTTCGTTTCAATCGCGATGATACGAGCGTCTGAAAGGGAGATTTTCAGGGCTTCACTGATTAGCCGGCTCGTCACAGTGTAGCCACTGTCGTTCTACTCTCAATTTCTTCGTCGTGTTCCCCTTTCCTCAATCACCGATAATTATCGTGTTGCGCTGACAGTTCCGGTTTGCCTCTTACCTCTCCCACCCCTCCCACTCACCGTCATCGCCGTCGTCGACGACGACGTCGTTGGCGTTGTTAGTGTTTCACTTGTTTCGCCGGCATTTACTACTTATTCTTTTTTTCCCATTTTTTGTTGAAGGTCAGATTTGTAAGCCATATTGTGTACACAACAAAAAAACTTATCGTTATGTTATCGATTTGCTAGTGATTGCTGTGTTCCGGCTCGAAGCCGGTCCGCTACCATTCATAAAACTCAGTTCCGCTTCTTTGCCCTATGTGAATTTTTTCGTGTTAGCCGCGGTCCTTCTAATCCTCTGTTTTTTCCCTCTGTTTAATTGGATTACGTTCCTCACAACAATGTGTTGCGCTCCACACCGCTTCCCTTTCTCTTTGTATTTGATTTGGTTTCTCTCGACCGAAACGAATGGATTTTTCTCACAATTCACCGCTTCCTTTTTAGTATGGCGGCTGATGTTTTGGCTCCCGGTTTCTGGGAGATCGGCGCTTACAAGAATAATGTTCGTCGAATAAAGGTGAGATGAGCCTTTAATCAGACATTTCGAAATAAATGAGCCTTCCAATGAGAATTTTCCATTTTCCTGAGTACTTGGGGTTGCTGGAGTGTCATAGAACCGTTCGACAACGCAATGTTTACCTTGCGTATGACCTGTAGGTCCGCACCCCCATTGCCTATATGGAAGCATGCCGTGGAAAGTTTGCTCAACACCACAAATGACCTTTGACTTAGCCTTCTCAGCCTTCTTATCGCTGTGCTTGAATCTGCGCCAAAAGCACAGAATACTCTCTTCAAGACTGGAGTGCCAATTTTCGGAATTTTGTGGTGATTTGAGATCCAGTAATTGAGAAATTTGTTTATGGGATAAGATCTGTCTGTGGTTGTTGTAATTAGGGTACTGAAAGTGACCCCATTTGGAAGCCATATGCTTTCCAAGAAATACAAATAGTGCTTGATTGTGCAGGCTAACCCTGAATTTCGACCTATTCTCCAACGAGCGGTGCGGCTATACCCTCAATGAATTAACGGTTTTTCTATGGCACGAGATGCTCCTTGAGGCTGCCCTTAGAGCTATTTGTGTATTTACATGAGCTATGTTTTTCGATTTGAGGAAGGAATCGATGAGCTGGACGATTTCACAAAAATGGCCCGTGAAAGAGCGGACATCGAGGCTAAATATGGTAAAACTATGCAACAATTTGCCGAGAAGTGGAAAGCTCACGTGGATCGGACAGTGCCATCCGGATCGATCAAGGTACCGTATTACTGTTACGATATTACCGTATGCTTGAAATTCCAGTCTCATATGATTCAGCACTGTGAATGCATCATTATATGATTCTGAACTTGTAATCAGAAATGGGGTTGTGTCGTAAAATTCCTTTGATTAGCGATGCTTAACTTGCACAATGTGAAACTTTTCTTCTCTTTGTACTTTTGTTTTGTCTTCACCAAAGGATTTGAATTGACATGATCACTGGAAGATTCACCTCAAAAGCCACGAAGATCCTCTGCCCATGTCAGCCCTTTGCGAATTACTCTGAACCCGCAGAATAACGCGATCCGCGTCTTCGTAATACTGTAATTCAGTTACAACCTATCGTAATAATTATATACACCCTCGAGCAGTCGTCGTCGACCGTCTTTTAGGGTGCGGCATCTATCTACTTCCCAGAATCGTAGAGGAGGTTTTGGAGCTTTAGCTAATACAAATATTACGGCTTTTGGCCCATTGTGAAATCACTGCTTTTTCCGTCCTAACTATGACTTATACATGACGACCGGAATGTTTTAACATGGGTTGACGTGAGCGAGCATGATGGTCTAGGAACAAACATTTTATCTTGATAGCTGACCTGCCAACTGCCTTCCTAATCACAAGTAAATCATCCCCGTACGAACTACAAGTGCGAAGCCTTAGTCATAAAATAATGAAAACTCCCCTGACTTTGCTGAAAATTTAATTTTTCTTTGATTGAACTTTTTAAAATTTCAACTATTACCCATTCAGATCTGATAGAAGTTTTGATTTGGGAAAGCTAACGTTGCTTACTAGTAGTAAACACTCTCTTGAATTATCTTTCCACTGGCCTGATGGTTCCTTTAAATGCGATGTTGCCAGCCATCAGAGAAGCAGTAAATACATTTGTAATAATAGTTTATCCGTTTTCTTTAGTTATTGATTAGTTTGTGTTTTCCTCCTTGAAACATGAATTCAAACGCATTAAGTGAAAGATAAAGCGATCAAGCTCCTAGCATTGATCAATCTCTTCAGGATGCGCCATGCATCATAATCACACCCAGATTTGCGATCGTTCAATGCTGCATGGCTTACACAATGACTTTTGTGGCCAGCCGGTATGCGAGTGTCTTTATCCTTCCACACAAGCCTGGTACCAAGTGATCGGTCGCGGATTGATGAAAGGCTTAGTTGAAATAGTTGGCCTAGTCGAAATTCGGTGCGAGGTTTGAGCAGCGGATCGAGCGCGTAAGAAGGGTGTCGCTCCCAATACACTACCTCCGCTTCTAGATGGGAAGATAAAGAGATAGTAAGTTCTTTACTGTCATCCAGTACATTATTTACAGACTTCAAAATAACTAGATAAAAGGGCCAATTGCGTGGATGAAGCGTAGGCCGGTAATTATTCTACTCTCTATGCATATGTAAATTGAAAATTCCTTCGTTATCCAAATTTCTGTCATCTTTACAACTCCATCATCTTTCAACAAATTGAGTAAGTGCCGAAAACGAATTATGAACAGCGGATAACGTGTTTTTCATGAAGGCGTCTACGGCAGTGGGACATGTGCCCTTGAGTCGACCTGTGAAACGGGAAACAACAATTTGCAAGTTGAATTTGCTTATGCAAATCAGGTTCCCATGTTTTGGAGAAAAGCCGATCTCATGTTTTGGAGGAATGCCAAAGGAAGAGAGCTTCTCAGGGGATAATCACATTATTTTGCTGCTTTTTTGCAGTTTTTCTGTTTCAGAAAGCGTGGATGGAAATTCTTGAAGAAGCCGATGCGATATCTGTGCAACATAATCGGGTCAAAGATCGCCTAATGGATGAGGTAATCAATCTAAATTAATTAATTAAAAATGAAAGAAGGTCATTCAAGAAGCTAAGCGGGAAAGGAAACGTTTCGCTGAAACTCTGATATTTTCAAATTTTTAGGTGTTGAAAACACTGGCTTTATACCGAAAAGAGAACTACCATCCATCGGCGTTTCGTGCGCCGAAAGAAATTCGTGAAGCTGAGGAAGGCTTTGAGCGGGTAGGTTGCTTAATGAAAAAAAAACGACTTAATACAGCGCTGATTTATTTCTTATTTTTCAAACGCACTTTTTTTGTAGATTTTTTGCACTGAAAAAATGTTCTCTTTTATTTGTTTTGCGAGACTTCGGAACATTTCTTCGCGTCGTCAAAGGAAACGCTAAGATGATTCATGTGACTGTAGCGAGCGCACTATCGTTCGCCTTTAGGCTCTAGACTTTTTTCGTGGCAAATGCCAAGGGCATGGCACATCCGAAGGAAATATTTGGTTACTGCTACATTCAGTTTTTTTTTTTCGGAGAAACCAGTTAAACTCGTTGGGGCAAACCTGGCATGCCTTCACGTTATTACCAAGGGACAAAGTATTCCAAAAGTAGCTAAGGGAGAAAATTTCAACAGTGAACCTTTCATTTTTCTGAGCGCAGCTTCATCCGCGCTCTGGAAAGGCTTTCTGTTTTCTACAGTTAGTGTTATACTCCTAGTGGAAAGCTTTGTAAGTCATGAGAACGGATTCACAGTGCGTTTCAGAGACAGAAGGCAGGAATTCTGCCTTCAATAGCGATAAATTCTGAAGGCAGATGTCCTTTTAACCCCGCTCCGAGCCGGCTCTCTTTCGGTCAAGTGCAGGGGTTCCGATTGGGGTCGAGCAAACCTTTCCATGTGTTTTTTCTACACTCAACAAGAGTGCTGAAGGTCACCGGAAGGCTGCAGGCAGACAATGAGAAAAGGATTTTATGATTAGGTTCTTGGATTGTGTGAAAATCACTGAGTCTGTTCTTAGCAACTCTTCGAGGTTCAAAAACTGACGTAAAACTAAACCTTATTTCTATAAATGCCTAGAAACTATTATTTTATGGATAAACGCCTGAAATTATTTCTACAACTAAGTTTTCAATGGCAATAAAACATTAGCACATCCTG